GAGTGAAAAGAGCATCGGGAATCGACGGCGCATGGTTTGTTACGGCAACCAATCACGCGGCTAATGTCTAGGCTAGCCGTTGTGGTGCCACCTTGAGATGGGCGAAGGCTGGCTAGCGTGGGCGCGCGCCCGTTTGCGCATAGGCCCGAAGCACGCGGGAAAACTGCTTTCCCGCGAGGTCCTAGGCTCTGAGTGACCGCGTCTGTGGCGTCAAGAGTTAGGAGGGCGTTGGACAGACACGACCATTACAAGCCCTCACGGTCGGCACTATGTACATATCGAGGGGCTGATAGTTAGGCCCAAGGGCTCCTTCTAAAAGCGGTCTTTAAAACACTACCATGCATATGGGATTCGAGCCCTTCAAACTCGCAGAATCCTGGTATACGCTGCGGCAAACAGGTCGTGTACGGCATACACAGACAGTGCGCCTGAGCTTCCTCCAGTCGTGGTTTTATCATCACAGCAAGGTGAGAGAGAGGAGAGAGTGCGTTAGAGACTGGTCAAATCGGCATCTCACCTGTTTTGGACCTTACAAGTTATATGGGTCGGCTGACGGCCTTAGCTTCTGCTCCCAAGCAGTTTGTTTGATCGATGGGGAATGCCGTGAATTGGCACTTAACCGAACAAATTTTCAAGCGGACTTCTGGGGTCTCTGCCTGGAAAATTCAAAGACAACTGGGCAGGTAGGCAACCTGGGAAGCTTGGATGGTCCCTTGATGCCTATGCAAGTGTTTAGAGATAGTGAGAGGCCGCTTTTGGAGAGTCCATTCCCAGGGCAAACCAGTTCATGGATCACGACGCGCTGAATCATGGCTTGGCTGAGTGCCAACTGACGGGATACCGTGATTCCCATGGTCAGTATTGCGGCTGTTTGGAGTAAATAACTAGAAGACTGAGAGTTGGACTCAATGTCTGCTTCTTACTGTGGTCTTAATGGCATCCCCACGCACATGTGATTCAACTTGGCCTTTGTGAATATCTGTCACATTCTACGGGGACCAGCTGGTCTGCGGAATTGGCTGTTTAGCCCTGTCAGCCACTGCGCCAGAGCCCACCTCCGGTCGTCTTAGCAGTGCCTTGCCTTCGGATTAGTACGAGTGATGCCGAGGAAAGTGAAGCGAATGCTGTACAAGTCCGCTATCAATATAAACTAAACTATGCCCACGTCACCTACACCGCGCCCACTATGTTGTGGGACACGAGGTAGATGGTGTCGCTATCGAAGGTCCGATTGCCACCGTAAATTAAAGGATCTTCTCTTTCTTCGAAGGGAAGGTACATGAAGGGCTCTGGTAGCTAAGAAGGTAAGCCAAGGTGCAGCAAGACTCGTATACTCTCGTATAACAATTTGCATGTCTTTCAATGGCTCTGGTCTTTCGAACTGGCAAAATAATTAAAATCGAATAGGTTTAAAGTGGGTGAGTGGACGCATGACCCGCAAACCGGGGCTCCTTATCACTTATCGGAAAAAAAACGTGCTGCTTATGACCTCTGTGTCGCAGAGTGACGGTGACTTAGATATTGTAAAGAATTGTGGACTTTGATCCTGGTGAAAAAGGGATAATACTATGATTTCGTCTGGTTAGTGTTCAGGTACTTCTCCTCAGAACAAACCAATGTTTCATCTAACTATATATGTACTCGCTACTTTATGCCTTTAAGTAAGCATTGCAATATAATGTTACAGTGACCATCGCCTTGAGAAAGCTGCTGCTTTATGTCCGAATGACTGAGTTGTGAAATTTTGAGTAGCCTTTTACTTTCCTTCGCAAAAGCACAAATTCAAATACCGACAGTAAAAAGGTAAAATGTTTAAGGTGAAACAGTGCTGTATGTCTGCGATTCTTTTATATCACGAAGCAATATCCGTCAGAAGTAATCTAACTAAACTGGGTGCCTGAAGAGTTGCTCTGGTGACTTAACTGTGGAATTTGCTTGGGTAAAAAATGCGTGGCAATTTAAGTAGCACGTTCTGCTTGATTAAGTGTCCTAATATCAGAACGAGGACTAGAGCAAGATTAAAGCCGAATTGTATTTTTAAGACAACATGAAAACAGCGGGCGCAATGAACAACACAGGGTAGCATTTTAGAAGAAACACAGTTCTATCCCCTAACATAAGGAGTCCGTACTTCTAAACTGATAACAGCAGTTAAACGAGCAAATAACGAGTAACTCATGAGGATTAAGCGTGAGTTGAATGCCACAGCAGGCGTCTCTAGCACAGTAAATCAAAACGTTCTGCACCAGTATGCATCTATTAGGGGAACGACCCTCCGTTTTATTCAAATGGAGTATTTCAGAGCCTGACATTTAATTCAGAGGATTCACCTGAGCAAAATCATTCAGGTAATCCTGGTTTCAATTCTTGATGGTTTGCATCTCATGCCAGAAATGATTTTTATAAACTAATCCGCCTTCACAGAGAACACAAACATGCTCACTGGACACAAATGAGTTTATCATCAAATAAGTAATAATTTATACTGAGAAGTTAAACTTCCTTATTTTAAACCTAGCCACTACTTTAACGCTGCGAAGACCTCAAAGGCCTTTGGGTGGAACGCAGTCCACCTTATGAAAAACACTAATGTCACACCCAGCAACGCTGCACTGATTGAATCAGCGGAATAACCCTGCAGATTTCTGCTTAGACAGCTCAATATAGGTGCTGTAATGGTTATTCCTTCCGCAAACTCAGAAATATGACGGGAAAAGCAGCTAGGGAGGACCGGAAGAACTACTGGGCTGAAACAGCGACTTCCATAGAGCAGGTCTCAAACGTTAGTAACACTCGAAACCTATTTAAAGTAATCCGCTAGGTTAGTGGCAAACTCTCTTCACTGAGTGACTCTGTTCTTAGTGGTTTCATTGCTTAAAACTTGGCCAACGTCGAGCGCTGGCGGGAGAACTTCGAGCACCTCAATTTCGATACCGAACCCATAATCTCCTGCATCCTATCTGAAGCTGAGTCTCCTCCCTTTCTTATTCATCCAGTTTCATGCGACCGGCCTTCTGAAGGAGGAGTCAACAACGCCATACAAAGACTGCGCAACAACAAGGCGCCTGGAGGAGACGGTATATCCGCTGAACTCTAAAAGTCTACTGTCGAAAATCTGGCATTTTCACTCCATGGGGTGATTGAACAAGCGTGGAGAGACGATGCCGTTCTTGATGACTCGTGCTCAGAAATAGTTGTTCCTGTCAAAACGAAGGGAGGTAAAAGCAGATGCGATTTCTACTGTCTTATTGACGTTGCTACGATGATCTTCGCTATTTTCCTTCTCAGGCGATTCCAGTATGTGCGTGACCCTAGGACGAGGCCTAACCAAGCCAGATTCTGTGCTGGGCGTGGATGTGAAGAACAGATGTTCACCCTAAGACGCATCCTTGAATTCTGCCATAGCTATCAACAACTGACGGCCGTCTGCTTTGTTGACTTTGCCGCGTTCAATCTAGTCCATCGTGAATTCCTATGGCGGATACTGGCACCAGGTGTGCCACCAAAAGTAATCGCCATGATCAAGGCCTTCCACCTCTCTACCACTGTGCGGGTTCTGGTTCACAACAATCTTTCAGAAGCATTCGGTTTTCGGTCAGACGTTCGACAAGGCTGTATCCTGTCGTTCATTCTGTTCAATTACGCCGTTACCTGGATTCCCGGGAAGACCCTCCATGAAGAGAACGGTACAGAGCTTGCACCCGGACGCCGGTTGAATGATCTCGACTACGCCGATGATATCACCTTATTAGCCCCAAGCTTTGGTGATATACAGTCTATGTTGTCACGGGTGAGCGAAGTTGTTAAATTGGTCGGATTGTCGATAAACTCTGGAAAGACCAGTATTTTTATGCTGCATCTTTGCCCAAGAGAAGGCGCCGTTCGAGATCAGTGACAGTCAACCTGAACAGGCATATAGTTTCGAATACCTCGGGGCAAGGTTGCTGGCGAAAAGATAGAGAAAGGAAGAAATTGTCTCCCGACTCGATGCAGCTCGTCGAGTTTTCATAAGCCTTAGAGATCGCCTATGGACCTGATACGACATTTCAATCGCCACGAAGGTTCGCATGGACCGTGCATCTGTTCCGTCTGTTCTCCTCAATGACTACGAATACTGGAATATGCGTGTAGAAAATGAGCGAAACATTGAAGTATTTGACCACCGCTGTCTGAGGACCATCCCCCCGAGTGAAGTACACCGACTTCGTATCAAATGAGATAGTCTGCACTCGCTGCGAAAACAACGCAAGGATATTCCAGACTTTCCAAGAAAGGCGAGTGAGGTGCTTTGGACATATTTTATGATTTCAACCTCCCAAACTCACTGTTACTATCCTCGATCCGACACTGCTACCCTATTGGAGGCGTCGAAGAGAGGAGCAGCTCAAAGCTTGGGTCGAATTAGTCCATCAGGAAATAGAAGTTTTTTTTGACCTTCGGTATTCGGCCTCCGGTGTTGACTAAAATAATGGATTGAACTGTCTAGGTCTGCCGTCACGGATTTTCATGCGTGGAGAGGTACCATCCAGGACATAATCAAGGCCGAATAGATTAAGCACAATCGCAGCCGAACCAAGTATAAGTACACGAAACGTTCAGTTGGTGCTTTTATTTTTACCAGTGTGAACAACAGACATACGTTTAACGGGTACAGCACCCGATAAGTTAAGTTTATTAACAAGGAAATAAATCGAATGGAAGAAAGTCAGTGACTTGCGTCTTCCAACAGAAGACTCGCCGGAGAAAGGTATTGTCGACTTTTCTCCCGTTTCTTCCTCCCTAATAAGAATAAAGGCATCCATTTTGTCCAGCGTATTGTTTCTTCCCATCTCCTAGTCCAGAATAACGCGGCTGTCAACAATACACCGTCTCTGGCAGCATCCCGGCCGAGGTGGCCTGCATTCTTCTCGATTAAACATATCCAGTGCCTGAAATAGAATTTTGATGGAAAGTGGAGCTTGTGTGATTTCATTTCGAGCACGTTATTATCGCGTTCAGCATCAGTAAGTTACAATGATAACGCAAGCGACGTAAGTATAGATTACCTCATGGTAGTATCCATAATAACCTGGACCATCCCATTCAATTTCACCGAAGCACTTTGGTTCAAAGGTGGAGGTACACGGCTCCTGGGGTATGCGTTTGTGTCCATTCCACTTGACATAGGGCACGGACTGAGGAATATGACCCAGCAAAGACTTCTCTGAAAATGGCAGTCAGAAAAACCCCGGCAAGAAATGTCCTACCATAATGCTGATTCGTTTTCCGTTTAAAATCGACGTATTCACTCTCACGCGAAAAATCAATGGCATCTCTCCGGGTCAGCGGCGGAAGAAAATGATGCTCGTAGTACTTTTCCCACCTGCGTTCTGATGGCACATACCAACCTCCTCGGAAGTATTGGGATTTGAGACCTCCCTCGCGGTAATTGTATTCTGGAATTTCGATCCTTTCATGTCGGTCTTTTGCTCGAAGTGAATACGCCTGTCCCGCAGCCGACATGTTTATTCCTAAAAAAAACATTTGGAGCAAATGATAGGCTTCTTTTGCTTGAAAACTCTTCCGTGGATATCTGTGGGTATTGGAAGTAAATAACTGCATATCCATGACCTAATAGTTCAGTATCTGACTGCATGCACAAGGCACCAAAAATCGGAGTTCAGGCTCCAGGTTTTCTAGATCTGAACCTGGACATGGTTGTCATACATTGACAAATAATTAGATGATATTCATTTTAGCCTCCTTCGTTTTTGTCTATATTTCTCCTTGGCTCCGCTATAAAATTATTCGTAGGTTTCAAGGGCCAAAAATAACGGGTTATGCCGTCGGCCCGTGAAGCTCAACTTCGGTATGAAGCAATTAACTGTATTGGTTCATGTTCATGGGGTTGTGAAATAGGTTTCGTCCGAACACAAAAATTTTTACGACCGAAATGTTGGTTCGTTATTTTAGAAGGGATGAACTGTCTTAGTTGATTCCAAATTTCTCAGTGCGATGAACATGCTTGACCTCAACTGTGATGTATTTAAAATTCTCAAAGATATTTCGCTACTACCTGGCTTTCCATCTTCTGTTATGCAGTTAATTTACCTACATTTTGCGCTATTGATTTGAAAAGTCAGAAAACGTAGATATATTTTCGCATACACAATGATTGCGTTGTAAGATGCCGGGAATCCAGACTGTGTTCAATGCAACCATACAAGCTTAATAATGGAGTAGTTAGTCGAGGAGCACCTACTAAGTTTTAAATTCTGGAATCTAAATTAAAAAGTGGGAGTAACATTGCGCTTAATAGCTCGGGACTATCAAAGTAGACACCTTGGTAGAGTCATTGCCTTATTATGCGAAGTCAGTTAAAGCTGATTTTGATTCCGAAAAGAGTTTAAGCAAAGCAGAAAACGGTGGATTTAAAGTTCAGTTGAATTACTTAGGTTATTTTTTATAACAAAGATGCTCAATTTTTGTTGGAAGTCGATATTGTAAAGCAAATCCTCAGCAAAATTCCGTATTCTTGGCGACATTATTTGACAGTGAAAATACAGATCGTGGAAGAACCCAGATTGACACCGGCGAAAAAATATAAGCGTCAAAAAAGCTGAAAATGGCAACTTCTAGGTTATGAAAGTAAACTTTGCAAAAGGTGTGACAACGGGATTGATGATTAATTAAAGTCCAAAGATTCCAGGAACTTTTTCGCAAAAACATTTGCTTAAATTTTAAGTTGGCTTGAGATTATGGCATTTACTGACACTATCTTGTGCCGAACCCCTAGTTCTAAATGTTTATATTGAGGATGTAGCAATTGTCTTACAATTCCAGTATATCAATGTGCAATTAAGTATTTGACGATAATTTATCCAAAACTGAACTATATGGCTTCTGAGTCAACGATGGACCATAAAATCTATACCTATAGAAGTACGCCTATATACCTTGGATATGCTAATCTATACCGAGGAGGGGAATTAATTTCTAAGGAAATTAAAAACCCGAACGTCCAAAACTGGCGTATTAACCCGAAAGCAAAAAGGGGAAGCTAGTAAACCCATTAATGAGCCAAACCCCTTGCAGATGTGTCATGCAGTGTAAAGATAATGATAAGACATGTGTTTAGGCTTTTAGCTAGGAAATGTGCTGATAGTATGATAAATTACAAAACTTTATATAGTCAGACATACGTCCACATACACTATCGCAGCATAGCCGGACAATCGGAGAACTGTAGTTCAGTTTATGTATTAAAATATGACGGGGTTTGGGAAAAATATGCAATCCGTTTCAAGCTTTCTGTTTATGACACCCATTTCCTGCGATAGATTGCAAAAGCTCTGATTTCAGACAGCTAGTCATTGAAAAACAAAATATCAAAGGTTCCTCGGTTTGGACATTTTTTTCAAGTCGAATTTTGCGAAATCAGCTTGGAGTTACGGTTGTTGCGTTATTGAAGTCTAAAATATTTCTAAAGGAACGCGGTCATAGGGCAAGTCAACTTCTAGAAGCATCATGTTATTTTCATTTTATTTGCCTATATTTGTTAATAATTATATATGACATATGGTTATAGGACAGAAAATTTGGGCCTTCGATCGTTGTTCTAAACGGAGATTGCTTATGAATGCAGAAAACAAAAATTTAAATTACACGTTATTAAAATTTTTGTTTTCTGCGTTCATAAGCAATCCATATTTATCTAAGTTATGCAACGTTTAATAGCCGCGGTTAATAAACGTTGCATACCCTAGATAAATATGGATTGGGTGATAGGGCGCTTACCTGACGATTCCTAAAAATAAATCAAAATGCCCCAAGTATCTACCTTTATGAAGCCTTTTATCCCACTCACTTCCAAGCATGTGTTTCAACGTACAGAGTTCAACCGCCCAGAATTTGCTGACTTTTTTTAACAACGTGAATGTGCCGGCACTGCCGATCATTTTGAATATGTCGAAACAATTTCGGATTTTTGCCATATGCCATATTATTTCACTGCACGGATGCAGCAGTTCAAACTATGTCAATTGATGTAGAGTTTTAGAGCGTGTAATTAAACTATTTGCAATCTTTAACGCGCCCGACAATGCTCAAAGCGTATAAAGTGAGGGTGATACTCAGAAAATTGAAATGCTTAAAGTATTAAAGGCATAAAAGGACAATACACACATATATCTAAACACATATGCGCACATTAAAAACCGGTCATAAATTTGCGTGAAGGAACACACGGATTGTTGGCACTTACCCGATCAGGGAAGGCCTTGATTTTCTAGAAACAATGCCCTCAGATGAGGCATGCATCAATCGGCAAATCGACTAAATTGCCGCATACAAATGATTCGAGGCCACAGCCAACCACAGCGGAATGACAAAATGCACATAACGCCTGTCGGTGTAGACGTTACTCAGCCATATACTGCCCCGCTAGACTCTGCTAATTTAGTTAATTGTTATTGTACACATCACAAAGTTTGATTCAATGCTGGGGATCAGCTTCAAAATTGTAAAAATTAAAGTTTCCAGTTCCCTAAAGATTTTCCTTTCTTTTTAATCAAATATCTTGTGATGCCAGTATTTCAGTATGCGTATATATAAAGGCAAATATGTTCTTTGACAAAACAAAGGCAAACTTATTGGGTACATTTTTCAACGTTGCTGCCTCGGCCATCCTTATACTTGAGTAAAGGTGCAAAAAACGGTTAAGATTTTAAACAGGCCTCTAAAATCGACACTTATTTGGTGTTTGCGTCGATAAGTGGTTGCCGTGTGTGTCAATCTGTATTGTTTGGTTTTCATTTCTTTCCTTTCTTCCTAGGAATTTTTATAGATGGTACCTGAATCAATATTCAGATTGAAGCACGAATTATTGGAGTGGATGTTCCCAAGTTATTCAGTCCACTTTGGAAGGGAAAAAGTAGACGATTCAGTTTTGTCTCGTTCGAAGCTGTGCCCTGTATTAGGGGTGTGCATTGCCACTTGAGACAGATGTTCATGCCTCTCCATTGCCAGCTGACGTTTATGAATGCGGCTTGAGGTAAATTTTCCCATTTCGTCACAATATAAGGCACCTCGGGTATCACACGGGATCTTGTAGCCCAATTTTTTTTATTAAGATGGGTAAATCATTCCTTAGGGTTAAAAAGCCTAGTGCCTATAGTGGTTGTCCCTTTGAGGGCGACATATGTTTGCTGTTTCCGCAAAAATATTTTAACGAAATTAAGACGCAGTCCTTATATAAGGAAGAACTCGCTATGTGCTTGCTTAGGACGCCTGATTTGGAATTGGTTTGGTTAATTTTGTTGCATATATCGACATATATAAGCTTTCGGATAACAATTTTAGAAAAGTAATCCAAAAAGATAATTTAGTTCGGCTAGGCAACTTCCTGCGTCCGACCATGGTGTATCAGGTGTGAGGCGTAATGCGAACCCTAATAGCAAAACGCTAGCGCCGTCGCGCTACTCTGCGTGCACATGATTAACTCTCCCACTTGCACTTGTCACAGGGTTTCAAGCGTTTGTCTGCATTGACTAGATCCAACTTGACCCAGGTTTCGACCGCGGGATGTCTGCGCCAGCTACAGCACAACTCGAAAAAAAA